GAAGCTGTGCTAATCCCATTTAAGTCTTCCTAATGACTATGCCATCATTGACCTATTATTTTTAAATAACTGAAACCATGACTGAAAGTGAAAAGCTAACTTTTAGAATATCACTTAAGACAACTTTACAAAAACATATCTGATATGCCTGTTACAACAAAAGGATGATTTACGCAAAAAACACATAAATATATACAAAGGTTACCAATACAAAAATAAACTGTTGACGTTATAAAATACCATAAACTGATAACGTATTCATTAAAACTAGATGATATAGTAAAGGATCCCCGTGCCACCGAAAAGTCTACCTATGCATGGTAAACTGTATACCGGCATGGTCAACAGTCTACCGGCATGGTAAACTGTCTACCGACATGGTAAACTGTATACCGGCATGGCAAACTGTATACCGACATGGTTAACTGAATACCGGCATGGTAAACTGTATATCGATATTGAAAACCGTATACCGACATGGTTAACTGTATACCGACATAGTCTGTATGCCGACATGGTAAACTGTATACCGACATGGTAAACTGTATACCGGCATGGTCAACTGTATACCGACATTGTTAACTGTCTACCGGCATGGTAAACTGTATACCGACATGGTAAACTGTATACCGACATGGTAAACTGTATACCGACATGGTAAACTGTATACCGACATTGTTAACTGTCTACCGGCATGGTAAACTGTATACCGACATGGTAAACTGTATACCGACATGGTAAACTGTATACCGACATGGTAAACTGTATACCGACATTGTTAACTGTCTACCGGCATGGTAAACTGTATACCGACATGGTAAACTGTATACCGACATGGTAAACTGTATACCGACATGGTAAACTGTATACCGACATTGTTAACTGTCTACCGGCATGGTAAACTGTATACCGACATGGTAAACTGTATACCGGCATGGTAAACTGTATACCGGCATGGTCAACTGTCTACCGGCATGATAAACTGTATACCGGCATGGTAAACTGTATACCGGCATGGTAAACTGTATACCGACATGGTAAACTGTATACCGACATGGTAAACTGAATACCGACATGGTAAACTGTATTCCGACATTGTTAAATGTCTACCGGCATGGTAAACTGTATACCGACATGGTAAACTGTATACCGGCATGGTAAACTGTATACCGGTATGGTAAACTGTATACCGACATGGTTAACTGTATACCGGCATTGTTAACTGTCTACCGGCATGGTAAACTGTATACCGACATGGTAAACTGTCTACTGGCATGGTAAACTGTATACCGGCATGGTAAACTGTATACCGGCATGGTCAACTGTCTATCGGCATGATAAACTGTATACCGGCATGGTAAACTGTATACCGGCATGGTAAACTGTATACCGGCATGGTAAACTGTATACCGACATGGTAAACTGTATACCGGCATGGTAAACTGTATACCGGTATGGTAAACTGTATACCGACATGGTTAACTGTATACCGGCATTGTTAACTGTCTACCGGCATGGTAAACTGTATACCGACATGGTAAACTGTATACCGACATTGTTAACTGTCTACCGGCATGGTAAACTGTATACGTGTACCGGCATGGTAAACTGTATACGTGTACCGGCATGGTAAACTGTATACGTGTACCGGCATGGTAAACTGTATACGTGTACCGGCATGGTAAACTGTATACGTGTACCGGCATGGTAAACTGTATACGTGTACCGGCATGGTAAACTGTATACGTGTACCGGCATGGTAAACTGTATACGTGTACCGGCATGGTAAACTGTATACGTGTACCGGCATGGTAAACTGTATACGTGTACCGGCATGGTAAACTGTATACCGACATGACACAAGTCTTTTTTTTACAAATCATTCTGAATAGAAGCAAATACCTTGTGGAACTTTATTAAAAAATATTAGAAAAATTGCGTAAACCAAATATATCAGTATCAGTGTTCTGGCAGTAAAATGTATACGGGGCAAGCCGGGTTTCTAACCCTGGTCCTCTGATCAAAATACGGAACTTCCCAACCAAGCCCAACTACATTTTACATCTAAAATAAAATTCATGGGGAGGTTACTGCATGCATGAAACAACAGCGAAATTCTCCAATGTTTTGCCTATAGTGGGACAGGGATCCTTAATGAACCATATGGTATGAAGAACTTATAAATATAGTGACGTGTATTAGTAACAATTGGCCATACCGTCCATTTACATGGTGTGGTATGGGCAAATCGGATTCACAAGAGGCACCAAAGATTCTTTAATCCCGAATATTAATATTAATAAATGAAATAAGAAAACAAATGCTCATATATTACTTGAACATCAAGCTGATATAACAAGTTGTTAATAAAAAGAGAATGTTATTCATTTAAACACCAATAATGGTAAACAGGAAGGAACACGTCCGGCATATATATGTGTCAGCGTGTTGAAAAGAAAATCAAAAATCAGGCAGAAGGATGGGTGCCAATTTTGGGCCTTCCGGTGGTTATCACAAATAACTTTCTTTTTTTGTGTTTTCCGTCTTTGCGTATTGCAGAGTTATCTTCTCTTGGGGGGAGGGATTGATTGTTACGTCATTAGTTTGTTTGAGATAATGACGTCGTTTTCTCAAAAATTGATGACGTTACTCTCACAAACAAGTGACGTAACAATCAATACCTGCTCCCAAGAGAAGATAACTCTGCAATAAGCTAAGACGGAATATACATACATTAGGGTTATGCTATCATGAAATGACATCAAGTTAAGGTCAGCTTAGAGACCATTCCGAGATATGAGGGGGTAAATGGAGGACCAGAATCACAACTATTTTTTTCGACAAAACAACGTTATTTGTTAAAAGTTTCTTCTCAATTTTGATGTTTTGTGTAATAAACACTAAAACTGCAAACACTACAAATGGCTGAAAAAGTAGCACATATGTGATAAGTAGGTCACTATGACCTTGTTATATATCGGCTGAATTATCTCAACAATTCCTCGTATTTTCTGCCTTAGCAAATATTAGAACCCTACAATAACCTTACCAAAATTGTATTTATAAGTATCTGAACCAAATCTTAAGGAAATGCAAAAGGCAAGAATGTATGTCAAAAATGCATTGTATTAAACTTGTATTTTAACAACAATTCATTTCATAGCTTCTCAGTGTAACTTGTGATATAATTAATAGAGCTGTTGTAAGCCGAAATGAATGAGTGTGGAAAATGTCGGTTTCATTTTTTGAGAGAAGGTTTTCCCACTTTAATATTAGTACAAAAGATAGCACATGTGGGTTGGGTCATATACTGTTTTTGCACTGGGGGATGGGCAATTTTTGCGATAATCGAGGAAGCAATTTATCCCCGAAACTTACAATTGGAACGGATATGCAAAAATTAACGAAAATGCATATGGAATCGTCATTATAACTACCCTTATTTTAAAGTTACCTGGTGTCATGTCTGATTAAGGTCAAGAACTAATCAACGTACGATCATACATGTCCTGACGTTATCCTTCCTGTTTTTAGGTAGATTGAATCATACCTTTTTATAACCTCCGTGATTCTTCGTACTTGATTTATCAGCTTGCAGTTCAATTATCAAATACCTCATTTCAGCTTAATTTCAGCAAACACCTCTGGGGTAACAGTTTTAGTGACGTCATATGTCAAACTCACTTGTCAATCTCGTGACAATGTGACGTGACATGTAAATGTCTCGAAAACATTTTCCAGTGACGTTATTTGTCGAGCTTACAACACACCGTGTATCGTCCCCTTAGTATACAAACGGGTTTTTTTTACGTCAAAGTTGACCATCCAGTCAGTGTTGTTTCATTTCCCGATGAAATATATAAATGATTTACCTGAAAAATAAAAAATAAATAAAATAAATAAAATTAATTAACAGAAATATTACTCTTAAATTATTTGATTGTATCGCCATTTTCTTGCCGCTAGTAACATTACAATAGCGAAATGTGAGCAGCTTTTGGGTAGATAGATTTTGCTGTATTGAGCGCACGTAAGCAACAGTGAACATGTTAGGGTTGTTATTGTTTGTGTAAACTCTGACATTGATCAACTTTCATCATGTGTGACGGTCAAATTCCAAGCCCATCTACAGGTTGACAGTTAAAACGTGGACCAGCTAACAGTTCGACAAAGGCGGTCAGCAGACGATTTCGTCATATCTGGGTATCTTTTCGTTGAAGAGTTTAGTTGGGATACTTCGATATAAATTGATATAATATAATATTTAACAACGCTGTGTATTTGTGTTAGTTCTACCTGAAATATTGTTTATTATCAGCACTACAGAAAAATTAGCGACGAAGTAACGGAAGCGAGACTAAGGTGTTGCTTTTCCGACGACGGCAGCGGCGTCAACATCAAGGTGTTTTTTTTATAGTTTCACTTAAAGTGCTAGACCAACCAAACTTGGACCAAAGATGCATATTAAGTAGTTCATCTCAACCTTTGCATCAAATGCTGGATGTGGCCTACCTTTCATGTTCCATTGACTTTGTCAGCCTCTCCATCAACATTAAGTTTTTTTGCGTTTAAGTTAGTTTCTCTGACATGTGCATTGATAGTCAAAGCAGGACACAGGCGAAACATATCAATTCGTATTCCCGTTTGGTCCTATTGTCTTTCATATAGTTATATATCCCTTAGCAACCGTGTAAAAACATGGACATGTTCATTTTTAAAGGCGTTTTTGATAGATTTAAGTGATCGTCCTCCGAATTGACAAAACAGAAATTTTAATTGCGCTTGCCAACAAGAGTGATTAATATCAGTTGAAATATCGTGTTTCGTAATTGTTGTAAAATAAATTAAAGTTTATATCTATTGATATTTATAATCCTTCAAAATGACACAATGGCTGTGGCAAAGGCAATCCTGACTAACTACAATTGCCGAGCGTGGCTGTAACTTTAGAATTCCGACGTCCAAAGCGGTCATTCATATAAATCATTATGTTAACTTACTTATTTCATAAATGGATTCCTTTCCTTCTCCGGTAGCGTTTTCATAATGTCGTTAAGGTTCAGGCGTAGATCTGACAACAGCTCAATAGGTTTTTGTTTGCCGAGTCCACTTTCACCTAATGTATGAAATTATAGATAATCAATAATTCGATCATTTAAGGTAGTGAGTCCCATCATTTTCGTGCTGTATTCAAACCATGATAATTATTTTCCTATAAACATATTTGTTTCTAATAGTCACAAAAACTAAACAAAAAGAGTTACAGGCGTTGTTGGGGGGAGGGGGGGGGGGGGTTAAAATATTTCATAATTACATTATAAATGTATTAATGTAACATATCCAAATTTGCCTACGTTTTAAGTCTCCCAAATTCTGGAATATATTATAGAATATCTATTTGGTACTTTCTTCACTCTTTTACAAAACTTGGAATCTAAATTTGCAGGATAGCTTAGGATTACTTACTTTTGAGTTTTTGTGCTTCTCTTTTCTTTTTACTGCTGCTGAAGAATTTCTTCAACTGTTCTATCATAAAAGCAATGAGCTCTTCCGAACGGTCGTTCTTGGTTTGTGCGTGTACCACTGCAATACTGTCGCACAGGATGGCAAGAAACATGGTCAGCAGCACATAGACGATCAGCAAGATGTATGTGAAAAAGTAAAGCTGGGCCATTAACGGGTCCTGTTCGTTCAGCTCTGTAAATTTACTTTTTCCGATCATGCTTATGAAAAGAGTCCCCATCGTATCAAATATGTTCCAGTAGGCTTTGATATTTCTGCCGAACACAAGATATCCCAAAATACAATAGCCCATGAATATATAAAAGAACATTACCCCAAACCAGAACAGGTCTCTGGCGCAGTTATCCACTACTCGGAACACCTCACCGATTCTTTTGTCGTAGCCAAGCACCCCAACCACTCGAATGGTAGACAGAAATACAAGACATGCAAGCACAGTCACAAAGATAAGGTCCCAGAAGGCAAGGTGTTGGAAATTCACAAAGTTCTTCGGATCCTCTGTGAAATTGCCCATCGTTTCATTAGCTAGAATAAGTCTTCCGAAATACATAGCAACGCCTATGCATCCGCCGACGACACAAACAAAGTCGACAACATTCCATGCGTTCGCGAAGAAATTCCCTTTCGTTTTCACCATGCTGTAGATAATCTTTAAAATCATTCCCAGTAAGAATACAAGAAACATGACTTCACAGAAGATCATGTAAACACCCGTGTTGCCATGGTGCTGATAGATTCGCAAGGGATAAATTGTGTACATGGTTGTTACTCCACCTGTCTCTGGGAATTCAGCCATTAGCATGACGTACGTGAACAGGTTTAGATTGGCCGAATACAGAGTGAATTCTAGGAACACGGCTCTCGTCTGCCTGTCAAACCAAAAGAGCCGGTTCAGCTCTTCCAGAGTTCTGTTCGAGAAATCCCAATTGACGTCGAGTTCTGTGATGTATCCTCCCCCGCTGTATGTCGAGTAATAACCAGTCACGGGTATGCCCCAGATAGAGCTGGCACTAGTGTGCTTCCAACCATTGTAGGAGAACGAATACGCTTCCTTTTCCACATCACATGGCAAGGGCTTCCAATGCAAACAGTAGTCATCAAGCTCTTCGTTTGTGAACGAATATTCTGGATAGGTCTTTATTTTTCCAAAGAATGGATACTCTTCTTCGTCTGAAAATTAACGTAAGTGAAATTGGATGACTTCTCTTTCATACAAGAGCATTTCATATATTTGAAATATAACTGAAGCATATGATTAAAAAAAACTGTCCTATCATACTGTACCTTGGACTACGCGGACTTGTCGGAGACGCGGCGGACCGACCCGGAAGTTGGTGAGGTCAGCGTAATACTGACGCCATCTCCAATGCATTTTCTCCCCATTATATTCATATTCAGGGAACAGAGCTGGAAAGGCTGTCAGCTTCAGCCAATCAATGTAGTTGGCTGTCGTTGTAATCTGGATTATAGAAACAAAATGTCATACTATTCTAAAATTAAAATACAGCAATACAATAAAATCTCGTTATACTTCCATCATATGTTAGGAAGAAGAAAAAAGGCATTATAAAGAGATTCAGGGATACATTGAGGAAATACCATGAAGGAATTATTAAGAAAAGAGAAAAGGGAATATTGAATTATTGTGTTGGCTGAGAGCGAGGTGGCAAATGGAACGATTGCCGTTATATTGAGGATTAAACGGGTTTTTTTTTAAATTGTTTTATTTTTATGTGTAAATAATAGCTAGGTTGTCGATAAATGTATGTGTATATTGTGACTATAAAATGTACTTACGGAAATGAACACATCGATTTTAAATAAGTTTGAAAATGATTTCACCACCAGTTTTGAAAAAAAATAATGTAAACAATCAAATCGATTATAAACCAGGTCAGTTGTTTAATTTACCGCGGGAAAAGTGGGCCGCTTGTCCAGAGGGTAAACAAAGTGCTTGGAGATAATGTCATGCACCCGATAGGATCTGTCGTCACGATTGCTGAAGCTGATACTATAAATAATCCACAGAAATATTATGGTCAAGAAGCATTCCTTCAAGGCGCGCGCCATCATCATCTCTCGTTGTCTCTCCTTCCTAGCCTCCTGAATCGTCTCCGGCGTGAAAAAGCGTGCTGGCATTTTTATATCTGAAACGGGAATAGTTTATAATGTTAATATTTCCATTAAAAATAATTCCATACATATGTAATCGCCATTTATGAGGATGAACCAATTGTTGAAACTTGAGTTTAAATTCTGAAAAGTGAATAAGAGTTTCATTCGTGGCATTTCATCAAATATTTTATGGAAGTTACATTGGTGGGTTTTTTAAATATGATAACAACACAGTTTCAACACAAAATGACCAGATCGGAACTACAAATGTACGAGAACAGCTTGAACGAAGGAAAAACGAAAAAGAACCATCAAGCATTCCTTTCCCAGGCAAAACACCAGAGAATTCCACTGTAGTTTTTTTTTATAAACTGTTACCTCCCCTTAATTTGGTTTTCGATATAGTTAATTTTCGCTGGTCAGGTAACAACAGTAGGTTAGAATAATTTTATTGTGATCGGAGGTCCAGAGTTCAAATAAGAGCCAGGCCCTGTTTCATTTAATTCTCATAAATACTTTCTGTTTTCTTTCTTAATTTCTTTTCATAAAAAATTCCGAATTGTTTGTTTTGAAACGAGTTATTGAAACCTTTTTCATGTTATGCTGGTAAAAGATTCAAGTTTCCTTCAATGTATCGCCAAACCCTTTCATAACGTTTCTCTTGGCAAATGGGGCAGTATAATGAAGTTTTACTGCATAGTATTTGTGAAGTAACGTTATAATTTGTTATCATAATGCATATATTTTTTCATTTAATATATATAATTATATTGTATGATTTAATAAGACATACCAGTGGGGCAGCTAAATCGCTGGCGATAGTTTCGTAGGATTAGACCTCGGTCTAGTGACGAGGGTTTGAATTTGTCTAGTTGAGTGAAGATGAAAGCGAAGAAGGCCGCCATCAGCACTACCTGTGTAAACAAAATAATACACATGTGTCATTTAATAAGAATATCTGGGATAACATTTCTTTTATTTAAAAAAAAATCGGGACAATTAACCACTAAATCTGCTGTTGAAATAGCTCAGTTCCCAAAATCTCGATAATAAGTTTTTCTCAGTTTATTCTCTCTTTTAGTAAAGAATACCCCTGACTTATTTTCGAAGCCGTCCTATGCTCATTTGCTATGTCATATAGACCGAATGCATCGATTGTCTTTTTTAAAGTCTGTTATCTTTCGCTTAGAAATATATTCTTTTATACAGGTCCTTACTTTGAAATGAAAACTGGTTCTTTTTTCTTTCATCGAATAGAAACGATATTAAATCATGTAGTGTGATGATTACTGTAAAATGAGTTAAGGACGACAGATTTTTTTTTACCCCTACCCGATTTCAAAGGTAAATTTTCACCTGGCTTTATTTCAAAGACGGCTTATTTTCGAAAAAAAATTGTCTGGTATCCAGGGGTTATTTACAAAGCCAACCAATTTAGAATAAGGCTTGAAATCGATATTTGAGGGTATCCAGATATCATTCCAAACCTTCCAAAAATGATCGAAAAGATGTTTTATTCTAATAACAGTAGTGGTTTATATTTTACAATGCTTTTTTAACATACTGTTCTTACTTAGGAATTAGAAGTATGATACAATCATTCTATTATACGTTTTTGATAAGAGGGATTATCAGTTACCTTGACCGGATCCAGTATGGCCGATGCTTCAAAGAACGACAAGACAAACTGAGTTAGCCACATTTCTGATTTTTGCTTTCCCCATTCCATGCTATACAACATGAGGAAAAACATGACTACTGCTGATCCAGCTATTGACAGAAACCAGGCTATGTATGCACACCAGAAAGGCAGAATGGTTCCGTCCGCCTTGATTATACCCTTCGCCACCAATATCTTCTCTAGCTCCTTGCTCTCGGTCAGCATCTTTTCCGCTATCGAGTCTATAGCGGGAATGGCATATTTCAATGAAGGGTCTTGGAGGTTTTGATTTATAGTTCTTGGTTTGGACTTCCGAAACATCAGTACAATTAAAAATACGGAGGGTGTTGAAATGAGTGCTGATATCACGGATACATAAACTGATTGGAGAGAAAATTTCAGTGGACCAACTCTCACCAAACTGGGGTTCTCAAATTCGTCGGCAGGGGTGAAGTAGATAGCATTAGCGATCATACTCATCATGATAAAAACCATCAAGCAAGTTACTCGCTGACATCTAGTGAAATGACTGCTCGTTGGTCGGAAAAATATGGAAACCCAAATGTGGTTTTCTGCAAGATTTTCCTTGGTATTCATGAAGAACATATTTTCGAATGTTGTGACATTTTCTTTTCCACACACTGGAAGAACGGCGTCTATATTATCATCTGCACTGTCCATGCAAAGCCACTTTCCACACAAGAAGAAATACCTGAGTAATGAAACAATGGAAAACATAATCTGATTTATAACATCATTCAGGAAAGTATCTATCCGAACGAAATAAGCAGTTATCACAAAGCACGACCTATTCAAAATATTCCCCTATACAGAAGTATACTATTGGTTCAATATTTCATAATTTTGGGATTTATTTTTCTATTTCTTACTTATTATACATATATCTAACAACGAAAACAGCAAAAATTCGTAAAAGAAACTTACGAAAACACCTGTAGGACTTGAATCAAGTTATTTCATTAGTCCAAAAACTTTATTATTCTAGAGTTGTTAGAAAACAAAGCAAGCTCTCACTTTTGTTTGTCCTGTATATCCTCGATATCTACCCTGTTGAGATACCACGATGCCTTCGATCCTTCACCGGAGTTGTCATGCCAAATGTATATATAATCAATTTCTCCAAGAGGATGGGGCGTGGTCATCAGGAAATTGTTGACAGTAGCAGTACCCATATCCTTCAATGAAGCAATACACAAAGAAAGTTATATTATTGTTATTTATTCATTTATTCATTTCAAAAATCATTTCCAGATTTACCCTTTCACCACTGTAGACCATAATGGACTCATCCAGATCAATGCATGGTAGAGTCTACTAAAGTTACATAGGGGTGAAAGGGTTAAATGAAATAAGTTACTCACTCTGCGCACGCCATCATAGAGTTCCCGGATGCCCGTGTCGGCTTCTGACCCAGAGACTACAAAGCCTATCCTAGATGTCGTTCCGGCGTCTCTGCGCATGCCCGTGTATACTGTGACCATGTAATAGTATGTATCGTCGATGTTATTGTCCATCAGTGGTGTCACACCCCACTGTTAACAGGAAGAAAATAAAATCTTATCATGAACTGCCAATAGTGAGAAATAAAATCGTTTATCATGAATTGTTAACAGTAAGAAATCAAACTTCCTATCATGAACTGATAACAGTAAGAAATTAAATCTTCTTATCATGAACTGTTAACAGTTATAAATAAAATCCTTTTATCATGAACTGTTAACAGTTAGAAATAAAATCTTCTTACATGGGCTGCTAACAGTGAGAAATAAAATCTTATCATGAACTGTAAACAGTTAGAAATAAAATCTTCTTACATGGGCTGCTAACAGTGAGAAATAAAATCTTATCATGAACTGTTAACAATTAGAAGTAAAATCGTATCATGAACTGTTTACAATTAGAAATAAAATCGTATCATGAACTGTTAACAATTAGAAACAAAATCTTATCCTGAACTATTTCTTATCAAGAATACTGACCAAGAATCCCTTCAATTTTTTTTTTTTTTTTACAAAAGAGTCATACCATGGGTTTTATGATTGTAATTCTCTCTAATGATTGAATTCTTATGATGAAATTCTTTTCATGAAATTGCTTTTAATAATGAAAATTGTGATAATGAAAGAACAGTTCAAATACGTGTGATTACTTACGATGTTTCTCTTATCTTTTTGTATCGTTTAAAATATAATGTAGCAGTTTGAACGTATTCGTTTAAATTGATCGATATACTTAAGTATTTGTTCATTTTAAATTTGTCAGAATATTTTTATGTTCATATGTTGTTAATACATAATTGCTACCGTTGCCTGATCCAGGTTGTAAAACATCTAACAGTTTCCTTCTGTAATATTTATTGCGTTTTGTGGGTAAGTTTTGCTTGAATTTATGCTTAAAAAACATTTCGTTGACTTTGATATTAGTGGTATACTTATCTGCTTTACTAACTAAACATTAACCGTTCAAAACATATACTTACATGATGACAGATTCATATTACGGAATGTTTGTAAAGTTTAAAATATTTACAGCCTATTCATGATAGTTTTGATTTTAAAGTAGCAATCCAAACAATTTGGGTCTATGCTTGATAATGCAATTGTTTCCTGAATTTTTAATCAAATGCCAGAAAGCGAAAACATATGTTTTGTTGCGTTTTGCCAGCAATTTTGATGGCATGACAACCGTTCAGGTCTTTAACACTAACCTTGACAATATCCTTTTTGTCCTGGTGTCTTGCCCAGATCATGAGGATGATATATGACAAAAGGATTAAGATGAGGAGGCTGAGAACAGCAGCTTGATCTTGGGGAGAGAATTTCAGGAAAGCAGTGGAAAAATCGATCGTGTTTGGCGGCACGAAAAACGTGTTTCCGAATGTCAGGTCCTTCTCCGTATTGCAGGTACATTCAACTTCGTATTTAGGCGGATACCAGTCCATCTATAGAGCAAACAAAACATATGAGGTGATTTCAATAAACATCGAAGGATTTCCAGTCAAATTTGGTGATTTTCTGCTGAGCAGAAGTAGTTTGAAAAAAGTAGTTGACGGATGGACGGATGACTGGTGCCATGGTGACACGTAAGCTAACATGGGTCGTTGGGTTAATGCAAATTGAAAATTGTATTCAGTCAATCGTAGCTAAAGACACCACCTATGGGAAGACCAAAATGTTGTCACTTAACACAAGTGTTCTATGAATACAGATACAGTTCAGAAAGGAATGAGTACAAAAGAGAATATTAAAAGCGGTCCTTTTAAACGGGGATTTCTTAATAGAGTCTGTCATAAAAGCAGGTTTGTCTATATATAATAAATACATTATCGATGACACAACCAACCGTATATTATCTACGTACCAAACACTTGTTGCCTCCCCAGGACTCCTTGGTCTTATCCCAAGTCATACAGCCGGCCGTAGTGATTGTCAGGTTGTAAGGGTTCAGGGTTGGGTCAGAGATGTTGTACGAATCCCCGAGGTAGGGACCGTTCAAGGGGGTCCACTGGTAAGGCCCCATTCCTTAAAAATCACATATCAAAATTGTAGAAAATTAAGGAACCTGGTTATACTGCAGGCAAACACCAGAAAATTACATTATAGCTTTACACGTATACAGTAAAACATAAATTTCCTTTTGGGTATAACTAGCGCAAATGCTCCGAAGTACTACATTGCAATTTTGACCATGTGTATCACTTGATCAGAGATTAAGACTAATGATCGGAGTTTCAAGGTTCGAATTCTGATCAGGCCTCGTCGCATTAGTTTCGTTAAAAAGTTAAAATGAAAGTAAATTGTTTGTAAAAATAAAACATTTCAAAATAATTCATAATATTCACGTACCCGGTATAGGAATTGGTCTAAGTCCCACATATGTGATTCCAATTTCTGAGAAATGTTGCGGAGCTATACAAGACATCCAGTCACGGTCTGCTACCAGGTAAGTAGACTGGTCGTACGTTAGGTGAGTTGGATATTCCCCATTGCGGACAAAAACGTCATACTGCCGTACCTTTTCCGGGTCCTCCTGGTCGATAAAAATGCACACATAATCGCCTAGTTTTCTGTAGATAAACTCGTGATAGAAACATCGTGATGCGTCATCTGGTGTGTAGAAAGGCATAAAGGAACCGGAAATAAGCCCAGGCACAGGTTGTATAATCATCACTAAGACAATGGGTACTTCCTTGTCATCGACGTCGGTCAAGGTCAAACGGTGCACGTCGGATGTGATGGCCGCTGCAGAAACCGTGTCTCCGAAAATAAAGGGATTCTCTTTAAACTTTGTCGTCTGCAAATAAAAAATGAAATGGATATAAAGTTTACTAAAATATCTAATAGAATATTCAGAGGAAAAAGTTAACATGCTTCATTTAAAAACATTTCATTTAATATAATCAGCAGCCATTAACAATTTTATACAGTTAAAATGTCATAAAAGTATCATCAAGTGAAAACTGCTTATATGAAAAAGTATATATTTGCGTTGCACGGCAGTTTCTTGTCCCGTTTTCCCACAAGTTTTGGTTAAAGTGACGTTACGTATCTGAAGAAAAGTAACATCTTTAAAAACAATTTTGTATAGACAATCCAGTGAATATAAATTATTATGACAAAAAATTCCTACCGTAAACTTGATGACTAGGTATGGATCCCCAACGCCATCCAGCGTGACATTTGAGTCCTCCACGTCACCGATCTTGAGGTCAACGTTCATTAGGTAGTCATTGATCAGAGTCACGTGAAAGCTGTCGTAACTATAGTCGTCCCGACAACCTTTGCACACTGAATTCTGTAGCATGGCCGAAATGGCGTCCGCAGTAGTGATAGCCTGTCTCATTGTTACCTCAGCCTATAGAGAAGAAATAACACATAATTGTTAAAAGAGAAAACGAAATAAAACAAAGAATAAAATAGCACAATCAGGAGTTGAAGAGACGAAACAGTAGAGAGAGGGAACCATGAACCCCGGAGGCGGCAGCGATATCTGGTCAAGCATTCATGAACCCGTTCTCGTATTCAAGCATTGATTCTTGGCTCAATCTGCTTTTCTTTTAATTCACTTAAATCACGTGACACAGGCCAATCATCAAGTGCAAACTTTGAAAACTGTATTCAGCTTCAGCTTATCCTAAATTCTTCAAAATCTCTGACAAAATGTAGGTGTTTGATTTATTCATCACAGAAACAAGAAATTGTTCTTGAGCACAGACAACCAGCTTGATCACGAGAACAGTTTAGGAAATACGAAACGGAAAGCATTGCCAGTAGTGCTTGTATCAGTTGTCAAAGAAATATAATAATTTTGCTAAATAGGTTATGTCCGTTATCAACAATTATTCTGCTTGGCATGAAATAACCATACTCGTATTTTCATCGTTGGTCAATGATTTTATAGGCTATCCATTTACAACAAATAAAGACACGTTTGACATGACATTCCTACCAGTCACCAACACAGGTGCCAATGCAGCCGAAAAGAAAAAGTCGGAAGGAGAAAATGAAAGAAAAGATGACAGTTCAAGTTTGCAATGACGCAATATATTTTGGTTTCTCTAAGTTCAAGGTCATTTAGTTGAATCATACAAACATGCAGTGGAAAAGAACATATCTAGGATTTCCCTGAACCTGCACTGTTAATATAACACTAACAGTAGTCCGTATTTTCGTATTGCGTACGTCATTAGTTTGTGTGAGAAAATTACGTCGTTTTCTCAAAATATGATGACGTTACTCTCACAAACAAATGACGTAACAATCAATAATGCTATCAAGAGCAGATAACTCTTCAATACGAAAAGACGGAATATGTTCATGTCTGCACAGGCATTATGCATAAATATCCAGCCTGATTTAGGATATGAAATAATCGCATGCATCCTTATTCTATTGATATAAAAAAACAACATATAATGATGATTTACCAATTCCTGCTTCTGTTTGAATTTCATCTGCTGAATCCTAGCCCTCATTTTGAACAAGCCAACTCTCTCCTCTGGAGTGATATCAGAGTCTTCCGTCAGGAGGTAGGCTTCGTCTCTATTTACACGTGCCATGAAGTCTACGTACAATCGTGCGTCTGCTGTCGACTGGATCGACAGGGCCTCGTAAGTGTCTGGTAGTTCTGGTGGGACCGTCACGTGGATAAGACTGTCAACTAGTTCAAACAGGGCTGCAGGAGAAAGTGTTCAATAAGTTTACTCAAGAAATATATCATACGGAAAGCTCTTAACATGGAATTGAGGCACAAATAATTTTGGGAAAACATGGAAAAAGGGAAACAAATCAAAGAAAAGAAAAGAAAAAAACATTTGTTTTGCATATTCAATTTTCAATTATTTTTAAATCAATTGCAGAATAAATATAACACTTACAATTTTGCTGAAATGTTTTTAATTTGTGTAAAAATATGGATTTTTAGAAAATACTCTGTTATCAATGAAAGAGAAACCATTTCATTATTTGTATAAAGACCATGGCCCTAATATAAGTAACTGTTACTGAGCTGGTATTTGCTGCAAGTTCTTATCGTTTAAAACTCCATTGCGCCATAGACTACCAACTGCATTGTGACGTCACAAAAAGAAACGTTTGGAGTCAAAATCTCGCTATTACGAATTTAGGATCAGCCTGAGTAAAACGATCATTTCAAACAAGTTTCAAAACAAATCTTTAAATTATGTGATAAACAGAATGTTGCATTCGTGTCCGTTTAATGAGATCAGACCCTCGTATAATAAAAATGCGTAGGCTCTTGTTTGAAATGGCAACTATTGTAAGATGTCCTGTATATATACACACATATATAACGGTAATTTATTAGATCAGAAGAAGAGAGATAACTTACTGTTAGCAGCTGTTTCTATGTTGGGGTCAGACTTCCCGAAGAAATCATTAAGCTTGTTTTCCGTGAGGTTTGTGTAGCCATGTGTGAGTGTCGCTAGGGCCTCGGCGGCATTTATCTGTACAAAACACAGACACGCAACCATTTTTTAAAGCAATTAGCGACTTCAAAGATCAAATATGTTGTTATAAAAGTATTATCAGCTGACGTCTTTTAAATCTAATTCCAAATGATACCCATTTGTAGTCTCCCTTTCCTTCAACAGTTTCCATCGTAACCATGAACTACTAAACATCAGTGACAGGTATAACTGCTCAATTCGACGTTTTATACGACACATAATCTTGCTTGGTAATGGTAACAACGGTCGGCAATTCCTTCTGCAATTCATTGTATAATTAATCTATAATTATTCATAGGTGTTATCCTTCAACATAACAATATATGGTAACCGTGTGTTTTCATTCTATGGTATAGTCTTATGTATTAATACCACACTGAAAGCTTCCTTTCGAACAAAAACGTTTGACAAATAAATAAAATAAAAAATAAAAATATATTAATAAAGACAAAACAAAACAATAACTTACTGCAGACGCGCTGGACGTTATCAGTGGATCACCGATGGCGTTGGAGAAAGCGGTAGCTGCAGTCATGATTGTGAAGTATGTGGTCACGTTAGCCTGGCTTAGGGCTGCTGTCATCTCATTGGTCAGGTTGTCCAAGGCCTTAATTTAAAAAATGATATTCGTTTACGAGAGGAAAAAAATATGATAATTTTGATTTTTTGTGTAGATAATAATTCCATATCTTATCATGTGTTTTCTCTTAAAAGTATATATAGCAATTTGTTTGCTAGCAAACTCTTAAATCTCGCAAGATATGGGTTTTAACGTGATGCTGCGAAGAGATATCAGATCGTGAATGTTTTATATATATCATGAATATTGATGAAATGGTTATTATCCCTTTCGCGAGTTGGTATCTTCGCGAAAAGGTCATTAGAAGAAACGCGAAAATGAATATTCGCGAAAAAGATGCAAATCAATAAAAAAAAATAACAAATACATTTCTGTGTTATGAAACGGTTATTATCCCTTCCGCGAGTTGGCATCTTCGCGAAAAGGTCATTGGTTTATGTCGCTCTAGTCTAGCCAAGCTTTTGGCCGGAAATAGTAATTATGAAATTACCATAGAGGCATCATACTGCAGTGAATCGACCAATTCACCCGTAGCAAATCAGTCCATGTATACTTACAGCGACGACGGCGTTTTGTACTTTGTCGACTGGTATCTCCAGCAAGTTGTCAAGCAGTTCCTGATATGGAATGGTGTCGTTACCGAAGTCATTCACGTCAATCATCCCCACGCTCCATTGCAGTGGCTGTTCCCCAAGTTCAAAGTTGGACAGGGTAGTGTCATTCTCGAACTGATGGTCGAACACCTAAATCAGATAAATGAGAAAATAGTTTTCAACCGAGAAGTGTGATGCTTTTAAACATGAATTATGCTTTGAAGGTATGTTCAGATGCAATTTTATCCAAATATATATGTACAATAAAACTCGGTCGCCCCCGAAGAAGGATGAACAGAATGTTTCTCCAAACTCCAATATATATAGGTTATTCAGTCAGTCCCAACCTAATTCATTCGTATTTACCCTATCAAAAATCAAGTTTTAGATATACTTTTAGTTCCATCTACTTTGTGTCCAGGAAAAAGTTTTGCTAAATCGATTCGAGAACAACCTGTATGATGGATGTCCATGCAGAGTTCGTATGATGGTAGTCTGACAGCCAAATGCATTTCACATGAATAAATTATTAAAAGGTCATGTGTGGTGTCAAACAAGTGTATACTTCCCCTAGAATACCTGTGTTCGCTTCTGGTTCAATTAGTTTTCGTTTCTTTGATCCTTGTTGCTGTATTTTGTTTCGTTTAATAGTCCCTATTTCGTCTTTTTAAGTCGCCAGTTTGTGACATTTGCTCTCTATTCACTACAGTAATATAGTTTTGATCATTCTTGAATAGATCTCCTTTTAACAATAGTGTAATTTGGATCATTATTAGTCTTCTTAATTACTGCGAAAGGCTTATTTTCTGCCTATGATTCGTTTAAATGGTGATTTTTGCGGTATCCATGTTTCGTTGATTTCTAGACCATGACAAAGATACATTCGTAAATACCTATCAATTTTGCAGGTTGTAATTTTTTGGCGGAAAATTTGAATATCACAATACACATGAATTTCTTGTACGCTCATACATTCTGTACGTCAGACATTACCAGAAAGGCTCTCAGCATAAGCTGATAGACACAAGAACTTTGGCATATTCAAGGATAATATTACAGTAGTTTCGTACCATCTGATTGAGGACGGATGCAATGGACTCGGCGTATTGCAGGATAATATTTGGATCGTTGGACAGGCGCGCTTCAACCAAATTGTCGAGGACAAAGCTTTGCGTGGCCTCTTGGATATCTTCTGTAGACCACGTGTCGTTAATGACGAGCGGCTGAACCACCTGTACAAGAATGACATTGGTTAGAGAAGACCTTAAATATCTTTGTAATATAACTATTTTGATAATCAAAATTGTTAACCCCTTATTTGCGAGCTACCCCTGCTTGTTCGGGATAAGAATGTATCTGCCGGTCTATCCCACTGCATGTCGTAAAAGGCGACTAACGTGGGGCCGCTGTAGAATTGGGGTTTCTTCTCTGTTTCTGCTGAGTGGATATTGAAGAGATTAAAATTGATCAACTGTCCCAACTGCAAGATTTTGGATGTTTATATTTTCCTTTCTCTCTTCACTACCTTTTTTTCTGCTGTGTGTCCCTTGGCACCCGTCTTCATATGGCCCAAGCTGTAACGAGAACGTTTATCCCAAAGAAACAAACTGTCCCTATTAACAGACATTAAAGAATATATTTATGCTTGTGGTTCTTACCGTGACTGGCAGCACGACCTCTGTGTATCCGTGGAACACATCAGTGATGCGTACAATGACGTCAGTCGTAAAATTATTGGCAGGATCCCCTACATTTAGCACTGCTTTTACGATAGACTCCGCTGTCAACACAAACATTTAGCTTTAATTAGATACATATGAATTCATTATACTGTAGCTCGAGGTCTTTTTCGCCCATTTAAACTTTCGTCCTTCGCCCGTGAATCAAATTTCGGCCTGTGTTTCTTTTGTTCTTAATGGTAAATTCGCCTTCATTTCGGAAGGCGAAAAAGGCGAAAATCAGACTGCAGCGGAAATGTATACATACGGTACGGTAAAATAACTGGATGTCTGATTAATTAAATTCGGTTTATTGTTTTTATATTTGCGTGCTATCAACTTTTGCGCTACTTACGTTAAGTATTAATCACGAGTTTAATCACTCTGCAAGTTGTAGGTGACCTTAATGTTTCCAATTGGAGCCTTGACTCGCAGGATCAATTTTCGTGGTTATTTAGAAAACCCAGATGGTTTTACGGGATCTAATTTGATTATTTTTTCTCCAAAACCTATAGTTCGCATAGACAATTGAAATTGAGTCACAGCTAAAACAATCCGTAATAAGGAAACAACTTCAGCTACGTACATGTCATGCCGATGACGGAGAAGGTTGGCTGGGTCGAAGATGGCGTCAGCCGTTTCTGGTAGACGTTGTACTTTAGAGGTTCGTTCCTGTCGGATTCTGGAGTGCCCCTCTGGTGCCTAATTCCTTCATCAAGCATGTTGGTACACTCAATGGTAAACAGAGTGACCGCTGCTTCTCCTGGGAAACACCACATTTATAACAAACAAAAAACAACGATCAGTTTGTTATTTAAACTTGAATCAATGAGTTGTAGATTCGCATATTTCATTTAGTTTCTTGGGACTCAGTCGACTGATTCATGCTTCAAAAATCTGGATTGAATGTCACAGTTAGTGAAATATGTCCTATCAACTAATCGGGCTGAACGCCAACTTTTTAGTTGGGTTTGTTACTTTAGCGTGACCTCATATTCGGTCAATGCGTCTGACTTCTGTCAACTTGTTACGTATCAAAACCAATGGGTTGACGGGTTGTGTATTTTTAACGAATACCTAGCCCTTATGTACAGCCTTAAATGAGGAAAACATTTATGCTTTCACGTTACAACTTCTCAAATGGAATATTCATCATTAACTAATACATTGAACGATGGCAATGATAAGGACATTGAATTGGCAACAGAACACAAGAAACGATGAACACATAAAATATAGCATTGAATATTCAACATACTTTCGAAGGAATGGACATTTTATAGGACATACCTTCAAGCGGGTCGATTTCACACGTACCGCCGTAGGGCGGGGGGTTGACAGAAGCAACATATGAAGCTGTTGCAGAATAAGGGTTATCACTCTTTGTAACTGTGTTCGTAAACCGCAATATGTCACCAAATACCAATGTGTCTGGTTTAATAGCAAGCGTGTCCGCGTCAAGACCTGTTATTAAGAATAACAATAAACAATCTGAGGTTTGGGTTTACCACATTAGAAATAAACAGGAGATCCCGATGGGATCGTTCTATTTTCAAAAGAACAAATAGAAAAATGTTTAACCGCAACGAAATTGCTCCAAATGTAGGAGAAAATAGGCATGTTCCAGTCCTGTGTGAGGACATATACCTTAAAAAAGATATTGATCTACTGTGTACAACGCAGGAATTATTCGTTTGTCTTTTTGTTACCAATACGTTGACATGATTTTAAAGCTATCATAGTCCTATTTTCTATTTTACTATTCGCTGACATTTTTTTGTAAATTTATTAAAGAAGATTGAATAACTGAAAGTTCTCCCCTAGGGTGAGTGCATGGCTTTTGCTCGTTGATACTGACCTGTGTCCAGTATTGCGGTCACGTTCGAATAGGCTTCGTACAGGCCTGTGACTTCATTGAATATCTCGACCTCCCAAAGGTATGTAGTCGCGTCCACCGCACACTCGGGACACAAACTCTCCAAGATCAGCTTGGTGTCTTGGGCGATCTTTGGCAAGCAGTTTCGGAGGCAACTATAAAGACAATAAATCTTTGTTACTAAATCAAATCTGCATTCAGCATGAGTTATAGAAATAAAGTCGTCGGAGGCCCACATTGATATAACCCCGCCCCACTGTTGCCCATGACCTTGACAATTTTTCACTTATCAAATGACCACCAGAATAATAATCAAATGTTACCATACAATGGTGGAAATGTATATATCTTATTTCGTGAGATTGCTTTCAAGGATTTTTAATTCAAAGGTGGTTAAGTGTTATCTTTGACCTGACCTTTAACCCTTTAACCTTGATCGATGACCATCAATTTCAATGAAGTGTGAAACGTGATACTGCTATACCATAGCGTACATGTATATATATATTAAAAGTCTGTATTAAAAGTGTTTACTGCGGACGCATGGACGTACTAACTCCCGGACGGACGCACTAACAAAGTTATTACTGTAAATCCCCCTGAGTGGGTGTATGGGTGTGCCGGAAGGCATGTATGACTATAATTCATGCTACCATGGTAATACTTACTTGATTGATATGGTTGGTGGAGTAGATGGCATTATATAAATTCCCTGGATTGCCTCTGCTCTCCTAGAGTCTCCACTCTTTGTTAATTCTACCGAAAACAGGTACCAGGAAGAATCTGCCAATGCTGCCGCGTCGAACGGTAAAACACCTTTTGTTGGCCAGCTTGGGTCGGAACAATCAGTGCCAATTGAATTCAAGTCTATGCTTATATTCTGTGACTGGAACTCCGCAATAAGTTCAGACACTTGCGTGTCTGTTGAGGTCGTTTTGCGGCAACCCCAGGTGTACGTAAATGGTAGCCACTGCATGAACGTTAAAGGATCGTAAGATGCGTCTTTAGAATTGATCTGTATGACGGCGTCGCTGCCAATGTTTCTTGTAGAGCCTCCTGCTATACCAGCAATGAATGGAGGCAACATGAAATTAGCATAGACATAGTCTATTATGTAGCCACCCTCAATATCAGTCAGGTTGTACAGGAACTGCACTTTGTAGAGTTCAGGGGCCATGCTCATCTTGCCAAAGGTGATTGTAACAGAGTTTGGCTGATTATAAGCTTTCTCATAATAGGTCTGAAGATGGAGGTCATTGACGTCATTATTTTGTACCTTCCAGAGCGTCCACCAGTAAAAGCGCGAGCTGTTCCGGCACATCTCTGCCACATACGCCTTAGCTGTCAGCTGAAACACATCAAAACCTTGTATTATTTCTTTTACAACAATTCTGAAACAATTTTTCAACCTTTATTAATCACTCTTGTGTTCCCGGATCGAATCACAAAAGGGGGTCATTATGTGGGGGGAAAACCGGAGTACCTTGAGAAAAATCACGTTGTCGGGGAGTTTAAGTAATAGCTTTTCAGAACCAATCGGGCACTGTGCCATCCTTAAACTCGTAGGTTAATGCAAACCAATACCGTAACACATTACAATATACAATAAATATTGTCATCATTGTTTCTTAAAACACATTTCGAACAGACATATTCCATTAATGTCATCATGCAATACATAAATTATACAATAATATCTCTTTGGAATTTAAACATTAGCAAAATATAATCAAAGACACAAAAAGTGTGAAAAAAGAGTTGTTCGAACTCAAGACTTATCCACTTCTCATCCTACCTTTTACCGACAATGCTTTTCAGGAATTGTATTTACAAAGCAATGAAAGCAGAGCCAGAAGAAAAGCTCAAGCTTCGACATAGAACGTTGAATAATCCTCATTCGAAAACAAAAGCAGTTTTGAAAGAAACCACTTCTTTGTAATAATGACTTGTTAATGGTGTCGTGTACTTTAATTATGACTGGTTAATGGCGTCGTGTACTTTAATTATGACTGGTAAATGGTGTCGTGTACTTTAATTATGACTGGTTAATGGCATCGTGTACTTTAATTATGACAGATTAATGGCGTCGTGTACTTTAATTATGACAGGTTAATGGCATCGTGTACTTTAATTATGACTGGTTAATAGCGTCGTGTACTTAATTATGACTGGTTAATGGCGTCGTGTACTTTAATTATGACTGGTTAATGGCGTCGTGTACTTAATTATGACTGGTTAATGGCGTCGTGTTCTTTAATTATGACTGGTTAATGGCATCGTGTACTTTAATTATGACTGGTTAATGGCGTCGTGTACTTTAATTATGACTGGTTAATGGCGTCGTGTACTTTAATTATGACTGGTTAATGGCGTCGTGTACTTTAATTATGACAGGTTAATGGTGTCGTGTACTTTAATTATGGCTGGTTAATGGCATCGTGTACTTTAATTATAACTGGTTAATGGCGTCGTGTACTTTAATTATAACTGGTTAATGGTGTCGTGTACTTTAATTATAACTGGTTAATGGCGTCGTGTACTTTAATTATGACTGGATAATGATGTCGTGTACTTTAATTATGACTGGTAAATGGTGTCGTGTACTTTAATTATGACTGGCTAATGGTGTCGTGTACTTTAATTATGACTGGTAAATGGTGTCGTGTACTTTAATCATGACTGGTTAATGGCATCGTGTACTTTAATCATGGCTGGTTAATGGCGTCGGGTACTTTAATTATGACTGGTTAATGGCATCATGTACTTTAATCATGGCTGGTTAATGGCGTCGGGTACTTTAATTATGACAGGTTAATGGCATCGTGTACTTGAATTATGACTGGTAAATGGCGTCGTGTACTTTAATTATGACTGGTTAATGGCATCGTGTACTTTAATCATGGCTGGTTAATGGCGTCGTGTACTTTAATTATGACTGGTTAATGACATCGTGTACTTCAATTATGACTGGTTAATGACATCGTGTACTTCAATTATGACTGGTTAATGACATCGTGTACTTTAATTATGACTGGTTAATGGCGTCGTGTACTTTAATTATGACTGGTTAATGACATCGTGTACTTTAATTATAACTGGTTAATGGTGTCGTGTACTTTAATTATGGCTGGTTAATGGTGTCGTGTACTTTAATTATGACTGGTTAATGGCATCGTGTACTTTAATTATAACTGGTTAATGGCGTCGTGTACTTTAATTATAACTGGTTAATGGTGTCGTGTACTTTAATTATGACTGGTTAATGACATCGTGTACTTTAATTATGACTGGTTAATGGCATCGTGTACTTTATTGGGGGGTTTCGAAGATCGTCATTGTTTTTCATTTACTGTAAAAGTGGAAAATGATGTGTATTGTGACCAGTCAACAGGCTCTACTTCATATTTGTACAATTCATCTACGAATATGAACAAATTGAAAAATAAACTGCATTATCTCCATATATGCAAATTCATGAAGAGAAGGCAGTCTATTTTTCATTACGCATATTTTCCTAGGTTCTACGCGATACATTTTGCCTGATGTCACATCTTGTTTCACTCGTTTATTAATTTTTACACCGATTTTCAATCATTTGTGCTTGTTTTCAACTATTATCTATTCATTCATTCATTCATTTATTAATCTAGGGAATTATCAACCTTTTCAAGCATATTTTTCACATCCAGTATATATATATATATCAATATGGATTCATATATTTTTATTGCGATTTTGCAGTATATTTTTATTTATTTATTTTGGATGGTGTAAGTTATATCCTTATTTTAACTTAGTAAATCGCTGAGATATTGTTTTGTTCACATTGTACTGGAAGGCAGTTGTATTTCTCTTTTTAGAAAGTGTGTTTTTCCTCCGTTCAACAATTCAGATATAAAGTCTTATACAATATCAAAGTTTTACTTTCTTCACAATCGATGAACGTATTAAACATGTCGCAACGTTTCAAGGCCGACTGGTCCCTTTGTCAAGCTGTGTCATATAGCTTGACAAAGGGGCTGGTCGGCCTTGAAACGTTGCGACATGTTTAATACGTTCATCGATTGTGAAGAAAGTAAAACTTTGATAATACATATTTCCAAACTGATGAATCTTATTGAAGATAATTTATATACACCAGCTTCTAACTCAGACATTGTTCTTAGCGTATGTAGTGGGAAACAATAATGTTTTTATCAATTACAAGGACTTAGTTTTTGCACTTGAGAAATAGATTATTTAGTAATAGAACGTATATACAACAACTGATGTTGTAATTGCAAATGGCTGTCAAAAGATAAGCAACTATTGTATCTTTAAAAATTTAGAGATACAAGTGACAGCAGGTGCTGTTTGGTTGACAGTGCCTTTGGTGACTAGGCCCAAAGCAATGCCAATGCCTGCAGACGTCAGAAGCGTATAAGCCATTTTCCATGTAGATTGGGTTGGGCGAGGTGCACCATACTGATAGAAGCGTTCCGAACGTAATTGTCCGGAACACGTCAACCTATGAAAAATTGATGCCCTTTGATAATGACACTGTCATAGGACCGAACTTAGTTTCCGGGTCGATAGCTGAGTGAAGTTAGATGTAGATGGTTTCAAAACAATAAATTGCAACAATATGTCGCGATCAATAAGTTTGTCAGTTCACAATTTACTGTTTTCCAAATAAATCAATACTATGTACCGTCAATGCGTTTATTTATAGTATACACAGGATTTGTTTATACAATTGGTCTGCTATATACAAAAATGATTTTCCTCAATATTATTTCATGACAATTTTAGTAAGAATCCACTAACGTTTATCGTAATTGCTTCTTTCCTAATATAATATTTCTTCATTATGTGTACACAAACAGTCATTTCGATATCATTTTTACCATTTACATAAATTCAAATTACGTCCAGTTTTGTGTTTTTATTATTTCTTTTTGTGGTAAATCATGCTAATGGATTACCAAGTTGATACAATTTCTAAATTTCCGAATTGAATGAGAAAAAGGACTCGGCACCGATCACTGGTTTATCTCTCTTTCTCTACCGCGTCCGGTTTGAATTTTGCTTTGATTTCATACTTCTGAAACTTTAACATTTCGGCATGAAACGCAAGCGTAACACTACTGATGATACGATATTTATTAAAATATGCATGTCCGTTGCACTGCATCCGGTTTTGCTTGTGTTTCTTGATATTAAGAAACCGCTTGTTGAACTTGGCAAAGGCGCTACAGAACGTTAATATAATATTGCAATGTGTGCCAAGAACTCAGTTAATACGTCAAACCATTATTCCGTCTTTGCGTATTGCAGAGTTATCTTCTCTTGAGAGCAGGTATTGATTGTTACGTCATTAGTTCGTGTGAGAAAATTACGTCGTTTTCTCAAAAATTGATGACGTAACTATCACAAACAAATGACGTAACAATCAATATCTGCTCTCAAGAGAAGATAACTCTGCAATACGCAAAGACGGAATAGCATCATAGCAAATACTACTGGGCAATGCTTTTATAAACATTCATTGACCACGATTAGTATTATTATTATTGTATTCTTAACGGACCACCAACACAGAAGATGTCATTAGGGTCAACAATAGGTCAATCAAACATGATAAAGGAAAAGGCGTCAAACAAACGAAAGGTTAAAAAGCAAATACCAACTTGAAAAGCGGAAGAGGCTTTGATTAGGTATATCTTTTTGAACAGACCAACAGCTTTCAAGTGTTTAAGAATTAAAGCGACACTTACTGTTTCGAAAAGAGATTTTAGATTTGGTATTCCGTCTTTGCGTATTGCAGAGTTATCCTCTCTTTGGAGCAGGTATTGATTGTTACGTCATTGGTTTGTGTGAGAAAATTACGTCGTTTTCTCAAAAATTGATGACGTTACTCTCACAAACAAGTGACGTAACAATCAATACCTGCTCCCAAGAGAAGATAACTCTGCAATACGCAAAGACGGAATATCATCATTAAAACAATTTCTCTTGTTGGCTGAAAGTCAATACAATCTAACATAACAGCCGGTGTCTAACTGTAAATGGTTTATTGACCGTTAGTCTCAGTCATACTGCGACAAAATTCAACGTATTACTAGTTGATATTTATGTTACAGTCTGAAAGATATAGTTTATAGATAGTAAATACGATTTTTTCGATATATATTTTTCAAGGGGGTGCAAGTTACTGTGTGAAACACATACCAAAATCCAAAAGAATCAATCTTGATAACATTCAATGAGAAGAAGCACTAAGTCCACAATCAGGAAACTGTTATCGTGCCCAATTTCGAATTCTATGCTGAATGATCCCTGTCCCACTGCACTGCCGTTTTCCCTACATGCATATACAGTAACCTCCCCTTAACTTCCGCTCTGATTAAACTGTTGCACATATGGGCTCGTACACCTCCGTTGTCGACGAAGCTTAATCGGTTTCACACAGTCTGAAGCCTAGGGTTCGAATCCCGGTCTGTTCCCTGCATATTTTTGTTCATTCAGATTTATGTTGCTGATTATGCTTTGCTTATTTTATCTCCATTGTGTTTTCATAAAAATTCCGCAATGTACACTTTTCTTTTAAAAAACGTTTGATCAAAGTTATTTTCATGCCAGAAAAATAAGTTTCGAATGCTTAGTTGCATTTCTTGGCAGGGGGACAATGACCTTTAAGCCTAATGTCATGTTCTTGTGATAAATCAATTCGAATTTGGTTTCTTTGATTATTTTGAGAACCATGAATTGACTTTTAGAGAGCTACACGACATTTGGTTCCAGCACAAAAAGCATGCTTGAGCGTGAAAATGGTTTCATGAATATCATCTAAGACACCTGCCATATGAATACAAATCAAATTCATGTAATGCTACGTTCTCAAAGAGAAACCCGATGTTGTGACAACGATATAACAATGATAACTCATAAGAATATTCCTTAAAACGTCGATGCTATTCTTATCACGCGACGGAAATGCAATACTTCCTAGAATCATATCGTGATGGACTAATACTTAACAGCATTAATGGTGATAAGAAACATGCACTCACCATGTTTAAATCGTTCACATACATCTGCACGGGTGTGTCCTTGTTCTTGTAAAGGGGACTGAAGAGCTGCCCGTCCAAGAAACAGTCGGTGTACAGGTCCATGTAACTCACTCCATCCTGACTGGATAGTTTGTTGGAGCAGTTGAAGGTGATTGTTTTGTTGCCATCACCGACGAAAGGGTGTATTATGGTAAAGTTGACGCCGTAAACCAAGTCAGTTGTTTTTATATACTCCGTGCCGTCGATGTCGAAAACACACGTGATGTTGAGGAGAGGGGATACCAAAGGGTCAGTCATTCGGAGGCTCACGTTCTGGACAGATTCAGACATTGGCGCTTCTGACACGTGAACCAACTCAAGACCTTGAATAGGATATTCCACATACTGTGTCCAGGAGAAATTCATGTGAGAAGATTCTGAGAAGACGGATAGTTCTACAGAGTATGTGCCAGGTGCGTACGATTTTGGGCTGTCGGTAATTGATGCTCCCTGTGTGAGTGAGCTTATGTCTAGTACTTTCGAAGTACCATCACCGTAGACAATTGTTGCATTTAGGTTTCCCATAGGAAACAGAGCATCAGCAGCCATTTCGAATTTTACATCCAGAGTTTGGCTAACGTAGATAAGGTTGGTGCCGTTAGCCGTGATATTATTGACAGGATACTGAACAACCACTACGTATGGATACGTTTCGCTGTCCACCATGTTAGAGAATAATACGTCAAAGGTAAAAGTTCCCGTCGTGGTCCAAGTGTAGTTCAGACACATTTCCCGGACCTGTCCGAATTTTCTATCAACGTAAGCAATGTCTGGGAATTCAATAGCCCCTATTATATTTGATCCGAAAGTCATTGTCTCCTTGAATGTGGCCACATCATACACATGCATGTAAGGTAGGACATTGGTTGTCATGACCGGTGTTAGAATCTCCTCTTCAATGTCGAAAACAACGAAACGCGTTTCTTTACCTAAAGGGTTCGACAGCGCAATCTCAACGGCGTGCTGTCCGAGAACACCTCCAAAGTCGGCCGGAGAAAACACCCTGGACTCGCTAAATCCCGTGGAATTCCCCGAGTAAATTGGATCACCCGTAATGGCGTTGGTGATGTTGAGAAACACATGTGTGCCTTCTTCGTAAGTGACAGTCACAGTCGCCGAACCCGTCGTAGGCATTGGTTTGAACATCTGGCCATCGGCCATGGCAACCATGTTGACAATCTTGTTGCCGACATATATGGTTGCCGAATCATTTAAGTGGATATCCTCCGACAGACAGTGGGACCACATGGTATAATAACCCGCAGTACTGTATGTGTGGGATGTGCAATTGAGGCTACTTGAGTCCATTTCACAATACGACCTTCCGGTTTCGTCACCGTGGTCCATCAGACACGTGATGTTGATTCCGGCGTCAAGGACTGGACACAATTTGGCTCCTATATTCACTCCTGTTGCCGTTGCATTAAGGTCAAGAGTTGTGGGGGAAACTGCTGTTGTCGTCATGACTGCAACGAGAAATGAACACGTCATGTTAATAATTTCAATAATTTTAGACCATTTTAGCATTTGATTCGGAATAGGATTCATCAGTTTAGTATGAAGAATAAAGGCTACAAATTAAGTTTCTTTTGAATACATGCATTAGATGAAAAATTATTTTGCGAGCTGTCGAAAATGGCTGCTTCCTTTGTCAAGCAAAGCGTGTACATTTCAACATTTTACATTACAGTGTAAATATACTGACGATATTAGAAGACAAAACTGATAATTTGAATTAAGACGTTTTTTTTCATATGAAATTGAGGAACTTTCCTGTGGAGTTCTATATAATTTCATATGAAATAAAAATGAAGAATCTGTATATGCATTAAAAGGGAAAACAGACAGGAAGCTGTTGATATACTAAATAAAGATTTACGTAAAATTTCTATCAGGGCTGATAAATGGGGTATCATCTTCAATCCGGATAAAACGGAGGCTCTACTTTTCTCAAGGCGGGTCGACTCTGAGACGTTGCATCCTAACCTATTTCTTTTAATAATGCAGTTATTAATAGCGTTATTGATCATAAACACCTTGGTCCTATTTTCAATGGCAATGCCGACTGGTCAACTCATATAAATTTTATTTATGAAAAAGCATACAAAAGACTGAATATAGTTAGAATGTTAAAATTTAAGATTGATAGAAAATCTCTTGAGACAATATATATATCATATGTTCGTCCAATCCTAGAATTTGCTAATATTGTATGGGCTAAGTGTTCCCAGAGAGAGTGCAACGTCTTAGAGGCAATCCAACTTGAAGCAGGACGCATTATTTCTGGTTTAAGACGAGGAACGAGCCATAAAATTTTATAGAGAGACTGGCTTTGTTACACTTAGTAAAAGAAGACATTTACATTTTTATTTTTTTAATAACATTTGTCCATCTCATGTCTCAGACTTGATACAGCCTTTTTTAATAACATTGAACATTATAAATTTCAACATAATAGCTTATTTGACGTTCCATTACCAAGAACGCATTTATATAACTCTAGTTTTTTCCAAAACTTATGTCAGAATGAAACAATCCAGTCTGTCTGTTTCTAACTATGACATCTCTTGGAGCTCTGAAAAAGTAATGTTTACGTTCATCCGATATGGATGTTCACCCAATATGTAGTAACATTTGTAAATACCACGGTGATAGAAAAATTAACATAACATTATGTCAGTTAAGAACTTCTGCAAGTAATTTAAATTCAAATTTATTTAATTCACATCTAAATGATAGCCCCGCTTGTATATGTGGTTCCCCCTTCGAAGATCGTGATATTTTTGTCCTGCATTGTCCTTTTTATACTTACCAACGTCTAATATTACTTAACTCTCTGTCAGCGATGAGTGATGTTATTCCAATCAATACTCAACCCTGTATTTATGGTTTTCAATCACGAGACGTAAATATGGATATAAATATTGTGGAGACGGTTCAGAATTACATTCAAGACACCAGACGTTTTTATTAGATTCTCAAATAGCTTTGTAAAATTATCTCTCTTACAACAATTGCGATATTTGAAATATGTATTGTCAAATCAAGTTCAAAGTACAATTTTAATACTTAAAGAAACATCTGAAAAAGTAAAGTTTATATGATATATATATACTGTTATGTTTTGTAAGGAGAGGGCTTATATAGGCTATGCCTGTTGCCAAATTCCCTTTGTACATAAGATCAGTACAATAAAATATTCTGTTATGAAAAAAATAAAGAATGTATGTGAATATTAAAAATATAAGGCTCTTGTTAAGATATTCATGATTCATCATAAAGAATCTGATGCCATTGTTTAAAGTGCGACGTCTAAATCGAACAACCAATGACGTTACAATACAAAAATCATATTTCACAAGTTACATATGACAAAATATAACATCGGTATTTTCACTGCATAACAATTGTTATATTTATTAATATATCACATGCATTCCACATAATGTAAAAGGTAGCCCCAAATTTGCATATTTATAAAGGTCAACTCCGCCCGCATTTATGCTTGCTCCACCCATATCTATTGATGAAGTCATGCAATTGTGTCTCAAGAGAAAGTTGTATAACTATGCCAACATGTTTTGCGGTTGACGTCACAGAAACCTAGCAGGTCAAGTAGTTTAGTTTTGGGATAATAAGTCAGTTGACTGAGACTCTGCCTATCAGTTTAACCGCTTCTTTTATTTCATATTTTATATTCACAAAGGAATGATATATTTCTAAAATTGATTGATCTCAACACACATGTTCTGACTTCTGAAATCGATTATTGTTTGCACACAGTGATGACGTTGTACACAAACTGCTACTAGGATGAAATTATAAAATCGATTGTTCTTTACACTCATAGCGATAACGTTGTACACAAACTGCTACTAGGATGAAGTTCTAAAACCTATTATTGTATACAAACAAATGCATGACGTCGTACACATTCTGCTACGAGCATGAAATTTAAAATCGATTGTTGTTTACACACAAAAGTATGACGTTGTAAATATACTGCTACTAGGAAGAAGTTCATCGATCGGCTGTTGTTTAATACACGCATAGTGATGACGTGATACACATACTATTATTATGGGATCAAATGTCGAGTGCACAAAAGCGACGAAGGATATGTTGTCTTTCACAATTTATTCTCACGATAGGAAAAGGTTAAAAGGAAACATAACACACGTCTCATCGATCTCTATCACGCCAAGACTTTTTTATGTAAAACAAATCAATTCACTTTGCTACTTTTTATCTATTGATTTGCTGTAGCATTTGATTCACGTTCATTATTCTCGAAGTCCACATTCACTGAGTTCGACAATAGACCGACCGGTATCATCTAGACCTCATCAGAAAGTTTGCTGATATTGATTGCACTTATATAGCAGGTGAACAACAGCCCAGAGTGTATAATGTACTTAAAACGTATAGTAAGCAACAAAACAGCCCCAAGTGTATACGTTGATTGCTGTCAGGAATGAATTCAAAGGACATTGATCTTTTACAACTCTGAAATAAACAATGCATGTAAAAATGGTATTTTTTAAAGTTGATTAAAAAAATCAAAAAATAATAATAATAAAAGAATACAGAAGAGTCAACAAAACCGTACTTTGAACTCAAAATCGATCAAACTGGGTACTATACGAACAAAGAGAAATATTTACATGGAGATCGTTGAAACAGTATACAGATAATAAGACCAGGTATTTCGGAAGGGTAAGCGTCTTCTACCTCATCGACAACAATGTCACAGTGAAGTCCTTTTACATTCAAGCTGTTAGAAAACAGCTTTCTCAATGCCAATCATCAATACGTAAATAAAATTAGTATGATCCCTTTGAATTATCGGATTCGAACAATTGTTTACGAACTCATAGACGGCTTACGTCTTGGCGAGTACATGATTTTTAAAACCGAAGCATTAATACAAAACTCCAGTCGTATTCATGGTTACACCAACATTTTATAAAACTGTTTGTTTGTTTTTGTTTTTTACGTCCTATTAACAGTTATGGTCATGCAAGGACGAGACAGATTTTGGTGGTGGAGGGAAACCAGAGTACCCGTAGAAAACCACCGATATGTTGGCAGTACCTGGCAACTGGCCTTACTAAATTTTACCAGGTACCTAAGGAGAGCCTGTTTCTATCATTATAACTCAATCGTACATTTAAATCTACCATTGAACTTGATAAAATAAACCTATGAAATATTGAGAAAATGGGATGGAATTTTAAAGCGGCTCCTTGATTGGCCGAAACACCCGTTGTCATCGTCTTTATATGTCCTTAAATGTTGCAAAGATACAAAATAATGGAAATATGTCATTAACCGAACACCTTAATTTCTAATTTTACTTTTACTGAAGCCGGAGATTTTATTTTTGTTTGTCAAGATACTAGTTGTTTTCTTCTAACTCAGTACTAAAGAAATGTGAGATGACCCTTGCAAGGATACAAAACATTGAACAAAATAAAACAAAAAGAATCACTTAAGTCCATTGTTGTTTTCATACCTATCTTTTAGTTCTAATAAAGTTGAGGATTTCTTTTTTGGATGTTACAGGTTTCAGGTAGACATTTGAGAGTTGCAGGTTGGGAAATGCGAGAGGCAAGCGAAGAAACCTGGGAGTTTAGAAATACACTAGTGAAATATACATAAAAAATGAAGGAACGACTGCAGAAATATTGAAGGACATGACAAAATGTCAAACTTATTTGGACCTATTATGAATTTACTGGTGCTACCTGTGTTTTGTATTTCGAACCATTTCGGTTAACATTACATGTGTAATATTCACTGAAATGTCAAAACCTAGGCACGGTAGCAAGGCACGCTTCCCGGTCACATTATTGTGAAAATATGAAAACCAGAGATGCTTCAGCATTCACAGTCGAAGAGTTGGTTGTAGGAAAAAATAATAAACAAATATCAAAACTGTTGTAATGGGATATCAGATAAACTTCATCTTATCCAATGCCCCAGTAGATAACACAGAAGAAAACGCTCGATTCTGCAAGCGGCCCCACATCAATCGCATCGTACAAGCATGCAGTACAATACAACATGTCAGTTTTCCCTCCATCCGGAACCTGCCCAGGTACATTATGTAACTTAGCGAAGTATACAAAAAAAACATAAGACTTTATATTCTCGCACCTCAGACAGAGATATCCCACGTCATACCCCATGCTAGATTTTTCTATCTCGTCCGATCTGCCTTGTCCCTTTACGTGACATTTCGCAGAATTTTTACACTGCGATGTATTTATCCGCGCGTTAACTGCTTGAAATAGACAATTTGCATTATAAATGTTCTGTTTTGTCGTTATATGTATAGTTATAATCAACACTGCGAAATACGTTGTAATTTATTTAAAGACGGACTACGTTTTTACGGGGAAGCTTTCAAATGTAGCTTAAGTAGTGAAGAGGTCATTATCACTTGAGGCCCAAGGCGGGAT